GTGGCGCGAGGGCTCTCGCCAGCGCCTGCAGGGTGCGAACCCCGAGGCCGGCCTTCACTACCAGGTTGGTGTCGTCGAGGTAAGAGAAGAGCCGGGCGACGGCGTCCAGCTGCTGCAGTTCGCGCAGGAGCTGCCCCAGCGCCCCCCACTGTCCAACCGCGAACCCAGCGGGGGACAAGGGGTCCCCTTGGTCGAACCCTGGCTGGCTGACCACATCTTTGAAGCGGCCGTTTGCTCCCCGCCCGAGGTGCGCGGCTGGCCCTGTGCACCACGCCCGCAGCGCAGCCGCCACCTCGGGGACCTCCGCTTCCATGGCCTCCAGGGCGGGCTGGCGCAGCATCTGTTGGAACGCAGCCTTGACATCCACCTTGATGAGCGCAGCGTCTGGCCGGCGCTCAACGAGGGATTGCAAGTGCTTCACCAGCAAGGCAGTCCCTCCCTTGCGGCCCACGCCGCACTGGCGCTCGCCAGCCGCGTCAGAGAGCTGCGTTTCCTGCGCCGGGGCCAGAGCGCGGAGGCCGAGGCGGCGAAGCGTGGCGCCAACCAAGAGAGGGCGGACCTCCCCGGAGTCTTTGGCCAGCGCCACCAGCTCCCCCGTCCGCAAAGCTTGCCGGGTCTCCGCCGGGAGCTCTCCGAAAGCCACCCGCGCCGCCGCGCGAGCGAGCAGCGCAGCAGGGCCAGGGTCTCTCCGCTGCCGGCGCTGGCCACCAGGCGCTCCAGCCGCGCGCCCAACAGGCCTGGCGCCGTGAGCCGGGGCGGGCGGCGGAGCAGTTTGCAGGCCTCCTGCTCGACCTGCTCCCTGAGCTCTGCGCGAGGCGGACCCGGTCGCACCCCGTGCGGTTGCGGCCCCTGCGGCGCGTCTGGGGACGGCGTCGAGGGGGATGCACGCCCCGAGCTTCTCGAGCGTCGCCTCGGTCCGCGGCGCCAGCTCGGCCCCGACCGTCGCAGCTAGGGCCCAGGCTTCCTCGCCAGCAGCTGCGAGAGTGTGGACTCTGCGCGCCCGCTCCTTGTTTGTAGCCTTCCGGCTCGGTGTCCGCGGCGCCGGGCCGCCTCCCACGGCGGATGCCCACAAGAGCGGCCACTGCCCGCCCCGCCACAAGGCCAACCGACCGTTCCTCCAGAAGCTCTGCACACGCTGGGCCCTCGCCCCAAGACTGGGCCAGCAAAACCCAATCGAAAAGCAGCACCAGCTTCCACTGGGCGGCGGCGCCCCCTTGCGCGCACGCGGTCTCAAACACCTCGAGCGCGTTGCGCCGCGCATGCGCCACAGCTCCGCGAAAACGATCAGGAACCTGAGCAAATGTAGGAACTCCTGCGCGCAAAGCCGTATCCCAATATAAAATCTGCCACCATTGTCTGTCGGGCACGTGCTACTCATCCCAGGACGGGTGCATCACCGGCACTGGCCTCGAAGTGGTCTCTGTCGCGCTGACGTCTCCAGGGCCTCCAGGGGCCGCTGCCGGAGCAACCGCTGCAGAGGCGACCGCTGCCCGCGCCTCCTCCACATGTGCAGGGCCCGCTCGATGCACTGGGCGGATCTCGTCATCAACCCGCACCCTCCCAGCTATGCAACCGATGCAAAGCCAACTGTAACGAGCACGGCTGCCCCATGTGCACATGCGTATCTCCTGCGAAGCAAAACTGATCGCACACGCTTTGCATGCAGCCGGTCGCTTCGAAGCCGGCTGCAAATCTAATGCCCATTCCCCTCGTGCTCGAACGCGTTGCTGTCTTCCTCCGTCGTCCTCCCCAGGCAGTGCCGCCGCCGCCGCAGGCGCAGCGCCGAGGACGACATCGACCTCCATCGCGGAAGCAAAAACGACTACGGAGCCCCCCCCCCCCGGCCGGCCGGCCAGCCGGCCAACGGGAGCCGCCGCCGCCGCCGCCGCCGCCTCCTCCGCCTCCTCCTCCTCCTCCTCCTCCTCCTCCTCCTCTTCCTCCTCCTCCTCCTCCTCCTCCTCCTCCTCCTCCTCCTCCTCCTCCGCCTCCGCCTCCACCTCCGCCTCCGCCTCCTCCTCCTCCTCCTCCTCTCCTCCTCCTCCTCCTCCTCTCCTCCTCCTCCCCCGCCTCCGCCTCCTCCTCCTCCTCCTCTCTCCTCCGCCTTCCCTCCTTGTCCTCCTCCTCCTCCTCCTCCTCCTCCTCCACCTCCTCCTCCTCCTCCCTCCTCCCCTCCTCCTCCTCCTCCTCTCCTCCTCTCTCCTCCTCCTCCTCCTCCTTATCCTCATCCGCCTCGTCTCCTCCTCCTCTCCTCCTCCTCCTCCCTCCTCTCCCTCCTACTATTCCTCCTCCTCCTCTACTCCTCCTCCTCCTCATAATCCTCCGCCTCCCTCCTCCTCCCTCCTCCCTCCTCCTCCTCCTCCTCCTCCTCCTCCTCCTCCTCATCATCATCATCATCATCATCATCATCATCATCATCAGCAGCATCAGCATCAGCATCATCATCATCATCCTCATCATCATCATCATCATCAGCATCATCATCAGCATTATCATCAGCATCAGCATCATCATCATCATCATCATCATCATCATCATCATCAGCATCAGCATCATCATGATCATCATCATCAACAACAACATCATCATCATCATCATCATCATCATCCTCATCATCATCATCCGCATCATCATCAGCATCATCATCAGCATCATCATCATCGTCATCATCATCACCACCACCATCACCACCATCACCACTACCACCACCACCATCATCATCATAATCATCATCAGCAGCATCATCATCAGCATCATGATCATCATCATTATCATCATCATCATCATCATCATCATCAGCATCAGCATCAGCATCAGCATCATCATCATCAGCAGCCGCATCATCAGCATCAGCATCATCATCATCATCAGCAGCATCATCATCATCAGCATCAGCATCATCATCATCATCATCATCATCATCATCCTCAGCATCAGCATCACTCCTCATCATCATCCTGATCAGCATCCTCATCAGCATCATCATCAGCATCGTCATCAGCATCAGCGTCGTCTAAATCATCACTATCAGCATCATCATCATCGTCATCATCATCATCATCGTCGTCGTCAACATCGTCATCATCATCATCAGCATCATCATCATCATCATCATCATCATCATCAGCATCGTGATCATCATCCTCATCATCATCATCATCATCATCATGATCATCATCATCATCATGATCATCATCATCAGCATCGGCATCAGCATCATCATCATCATCAGCATCATCATCATGAGCATCAGCAGCATCACCAGCAGCATCATCATCGTTATCATCATCATCAACAGCAGCATCATCATCATCCTCAGCATCCGCATCCGCATCCACGTTATCATCCACATCCTCATCTCATCATCATCATCATCATCATCATCATCATCATCATCATCATCATCATCAGTTTCAGCATATTCATCCTATTCATCATCATCATTATCAGCATCATCATCACAATCGTCATCAGCATCATCATCGTCAACAACAACATCATCATCATCATCAGCATCAGCATCAGCATCAGCGTCATCATCAGCATCATGATCAGCATCAGCATCAGCAGTATCATAAGCATCATCACCATCAGCAGCATCATCAGCAGCAGCATCATCATCATCATCCTCATCATCGCCATCATGATCATCATCGCCATCATGATCATCATCAAAATCAGTATCATCGTCATCATGATCGTCATCATCATCATCATCAGAAGCATAATCATCAGCATCATGATCATCATCCTCATCATAATCATCATGATCATCATCATCATCCTCATCATCATCAGCATCAGCATCAGCATCATCATCATCAGCATCATCATGATCATCATGAGCATCAGCAGCATCAGCAGCAGCATCATCATCGTTATCATCATCATCAGCAGCAGCATCATCATCATCCTCAGCATCCGCATCCTCATCCACATTATCATCCACATCCTCATCATCATCATCATCATCATCATCATCATCATCATCATCAGTTTCATCATATTCATCCTATTCATCATCATCATCATCACTATCAGCATCATCATCATAATCATCATCAGCATCATCATCGTCAACAACATCATCATCACAATCATCATTATCAGCATCAGCATCAGCATCAGCGTCATCATCAGCATCATCATCATCGTCAGCATCAGCATCAGCATTATCATAAGCATCATCATCATCAGCAGCATCATCAGCAGCAGCATCATCATGATCATCATCATTATCCTGATCATCGCCATCATGATCATCATCATCATCAAAATCAGCATCATCGTCATCATCAGCAGCATCATGATCATCAGTATCATAATCATCAGCAGCAGCATCAGCATCAGCATCATCATCATCATCATCATCGTCAGCATCATCTTCAGCATCATCAGAATCCTCATCATCGTTATCATGATCATCATCATCAGCAGCAGCAGCATCATCAGCATCATCAGCATCATCGTCATCATCATCAGCATCATCATCAACATCATCATCAGCATGATCATCACATAGTGTCATTATCATCATCATCATCGATCATCATAAGCATCATCATCAGCATCATCAGTTTCAGCATCATCATCATCATCATCATCATCATCATCATCATCAGCATCAGCATCAACATCATCAACATCATCCCCCTTCTGCTCTTTGCTGCTCTCTGCTGTTGCTGCTGCTGCTGCTGCTGTCCTCTTCCTCCTCCTCCTCGCATTTTGTCTTGTATTCCCTGGGACGTGGAAGCCGGAAGAGCTGAACACGGCAAGAGACGAACCGAAACGCCCTCCCGAATCCTTCTCGGCCTTCCTACCTCCTCAACCCTCCCACCTCACACCTCCCACCTCGAGCTCCTCCCGAGCAGGGGAAGGGGGGGAGGACTGCGGAGGGGCGATGAGGAGTAGGTGGATGATGAAGAGAAGGAGGAGGAGGAGGAGGAGGAGGAGGAGGAGGAGGAGGCCCTCCTCCCCCCAAGGCCCTGGCGCGGGCGGGGCGCCTGCCCCCGCCCGACCAGCGACAGAGCGGCGGGGCTCCCCGGGGCGGCCCGCGGCCGCTTCGGGCCAGGGGCCCCTGCAGTTCGAGCCGGCCGGGCCCGTGCGGCTTCGTCTGCGGTGCGCCGAGCGAAACGCCGACCGCGGGGAATGTTTGATCAACCCGACCTCTTCGGGAGGAGGAGGGGGAGGAGGAGGAGGACCAGGAGGAGGAGGAGGAGGGGGAGGAGGAGGAGGGGGAGGAGGGGGAGGAGGAGGACGAGGAGGAGGAGGGGGAGAAGCAGGACAAGGAAGACGGGGAGGGGGATGAGGAGGAGAGGGAAGAGGAAGACAGACCACTGGAGACAGAAAGCGCAGCAACGATGTTGCAGTCCACCATCCTTCCAAGCTCCCTGCTTCCTACAAAATTGATGCTCATTGCGGGGAGTGGCCCACCAGAACACAACCGTTTAAGACTCCTCACTCGTGCCAAAACAACGCTCATGAGACTTCAACGCCCAACAGCAGCGTGACTCTCGCGTTCTGCCAATTCCACATCGCGCAACAACACGATGATCGGGACTTTGGCCATACGAACCCTTGAAACTGCAACAAATTGGTATGACGAGCTCCTGTGGCGTCCATCTTCGACACGTTGCGCGACGTTGCGGCAGGCACTGCAGTTTGAAAACCAGCCGCCTCCCACCCGTGAAATTGCTGCGCTGATGCGAGAGCCACAAGCTGAAAACCCGCCGCCCTTCCTCCGCGAAACTGCTGAAAACTTGAAAGACGAATGTGCGCGGGAAGGAGGAGTAGGCTGGCTCCTCATGCCCTGTCCCTGCTGCCGCTTCGGCTTCGTCCCGCTCTTGGCTTCGCCCATTCCCCCCATCCCCGGGGGTCGTCCCCGATGTTCCCTGGGCTGGGCGTCCCCGCGAGCACTCTCGAGCGCCTGCTCTCTGCACATGCGTCCCTGCGGACGCCCCCTCGGCGCGTTTTCAGTGTGGACCAGACAACTTCGACCACCTCTCCGCTGCATCGCCTGCACCAGTCTGCGCCTGCGGCGCGACCCGCGGAGGCAAGAAGGAGGAGGAGGAGGAGGAGGAGGAGAAAGAGGAAGAGAGGAGGAGGAGGAGGAGGAGGAGGAGGAGGAGGAGGGGGAGGAGAAGAAAGAGGAGGAGGAGGAGGAGGGGGAGGAGGAGGAGGAGGAGGAGGAGGAGAGGCACGGGAAGGGAGGAGGAGGAGGAAGAGGAGGACGAAGACGAGGAGGAGGAGGAGAACGAGGAGGCGGAGGAGGAGGAGGAAGAGGAAAAGGACGGAAAATAGGGGGTGGAGGAGTGCGAAAAAAATGGGGACACTGAGAAGGAGAAGGGGGACAAAGCATGCGCGCACAGCGCGCTGTTCAAGATGGTCGTTGGTCAAACAAGGTGTGCATGGCATCGACAACTCGAGTAATCCAAAAAGATTGACAGCCCGCTCTCATGGGGCGCCCCTCCCCCACCACGTCGCAGTGCCGATACTCCTCGTCGGCATGACCCTCCCCGTCCTCATAATCATCCACCTTTTCCTCTTCCTCCTCTTCCGCTCCCTTTCAAGTCAAGTGCCCCCTTGGCCAAATCAACTTTGTCATCATAATGAAATTCACGATTACCACAACAATGGCGATGCTGGTGATCGTGGCGACGATGCTGCAAACAAGAGCGATGGTGATGATAGTGATGAAGATTATCCGAATAGGCCACACAGCGAAAGCTGCAAGATACAGTTTGCCACGCGCGCTCAAGAGGCACAGGCATCTGAGACCAGGGTCGCTCGCGCAGCACGGAGATCGAGCGAGCCAAAGACGACAGCACACTACCCATTTCCCAAACGGGTCGCAGCCGCAAGACTCGTCCACATGCGGCCTCGGGGAGCGCGCGCCAGACAATGCCACGCGCGACAGCTTCGCACGCGAGCCGATTCCCATCTCACTAGAACACGCGCAACTGAGGTGGGCAAGACTTGACACGCCCCACCCTTGGGGGCGAATCGATTTCCGCCACCGGGCCCCGCACTGACAGAGATGGCACACACTGGAAAAAGAATCGGCACCCGAGGCGAGCCCCACACGCGCAGGGTCAGACCACGAGATCGAAGCCTGGGGGGCCCCCAGGAGGACAGGGACCCCCACCAGGGCACGGCACGGAGAAACAATTCTGCAGGCGAAATGGAACGTTGCCTTTCCGATCTTGAGACGTGCACGCCCGGACTCATTCAGATCGGGCGCTCCCATTGGCCAGGACGAATCGCGGAGAGGCTACCCGAGGGCCCGGGCCCAGGTGGCACGCGGGGCCCCCAGGAAAATGCCGAGGATGATGCCAGCTTTGAGCCATCCCAAAATGAGCTTCTCAAACGCGCGGTCCAGGCGGCCCTCCAAAGGCCCATTCAAGACATCTAAGGAGAGGGCGGCGAATCCGGAAGCCCTCAGAGCCTTGGCCACCCTCCCTGATCCCGCAAAGAGAGTTTTAGATCGCGCCAAATCCCCGATGTCGAGCAGCCCTGAGCTGCTGGGCGAGCAGGGTGCGGAGGTGGCGCCTGACCTGGCCAGGCGAGGCCACGGCAGACCGGTTGCGATCGGCGCCCGCACGGGCGCGGGCAGCAGCCGCCCTGGGCGCGGCCGCAGCAACACGACGAGCCCCAGCTCGACAATCTCGCGCAGGTGCACACGAGGCCCCGCGGGCCCTGCCACTGCCTCTGCCCCCCGGCGGGGTGCAGCAGCAGCGCGACGGTCGCGCAGCGCGGAGACGGCCCCCTCGTCATGGCGGGCACCCGCCGCTGCCAGGCCTCGCAGCTCCTCGCGGTTGGCGGCCGCTGAGCCCCTGGCGGCCAGGCAGGAAGTGCGCCAGCGACGCCAGCGCCGGCGAGCCCTGACTCGAGGGCAGCCCCCGAGCGGGCTGCTAGCTCAAGACTGGGAGCCGGCGGTAAACCGTCAACCATGGTTACCGCCGGGAACTCGTAGAGTTTCCTTGGCACATACACGAATGGGATGCGGGCGCGGCAATCTCGCATCCCGCGCGCGCGGGGGCGCGGTTGCATGGGGGGGCGCGGAGGCGTAGAAGGAGCGAGTAAGAGAAGGAGGTGGAGGAGGCCGAGGAAGAGAAGGAGGAGGAGAAGGAGCAGGAGGAGGAGGAGGGGGAGGAGGAAGAGGAGGATGACCAGCAGAAGGGGGATTTCCTTTCGAGTGCTGCGCGGAACAGCTCTGTAGCTCATCTACTGGGAACCGGCTGTTTACCGTCAACCTCGGTTACCGCCGGGATCTCGTAGAGCTTCCTTGTCACATACATGACTGGGATGCGGACGCGGCAATCTCGCATCCCGCGCGCGCGAGGGCGCGATTTCGCGGGGAGGACGCGGAGGAAAGAAAGGAGTGAGGAGGAGAAGGAGGTGGAGGAAGCTGAGGAAGAGAAGCAGAAGGAGGAAAAAACAGGAGGAGGAGAAGGAGGGGGAAGAGAGGGATCACGAGCAGAAGGAGGCAGGGGGGAGGGGGAGAAGGGGGGCGACGACGACGATGAGGAGGAAGAGGATGAAGAGGAAGAGAGGGGTGGGGGAGGAAGGATGATGAGGGGGAAGGGTGGAGGAGGAAGAAGATGAAGAGGAAGAGAAGGATGAGGAGGAGAAAGAGGAGAAGAAGCAGATGAAGGAAGAGGAGGAGGGGGAGGAGAAGAAGAAAGAGAAGGCGGAGGAGGAGAAGGAGGACTTCAATTCAGAACCGCCTATAATCTCTAGGAATTAAAGACAGTGCGACTAGCTTTCCAGTCGCAGCTATTTCTGCAGTCCGAACTCGGACGCCTCGATACCGTAGGCGAATGTACCTGGTCACCTTCGGCTTCGACAAGTGTTTGTCGAGTCCGTAGCCAGCCTACAGATCAGATGGAGTAGAAACATACTATCATTATCTCTTCAAACAGTAGCAGAGTGCAGATAGTTGTTTCGCCCCAGCTCGTGTAGCAGACCGAGTTCAGGCATCTAGATACTTGAGCTAGCACGCCTCTGGAATTTCTTTCAAGTGCTCTGCCATACAGCTCTGTAGCTCACCTGCAGCCCTTCAAAGTAAGATAAGCACCATCTCCCAAACAACTAGCAGATTCCGACTAGGTTTTGTAATTCCAGATCCGGTGGCAGACCGAGTTCAGGCATCTAGATACTTGCAACCAGCGCAGTGCATGACTACATCCCGATTGCTGCGCCGAACGGCTCTGCAGCTCATCTGCAGCTTGATTCGCATTAAGGGAATCATCATCATCATCATCATCATCATCATCATCATCATCATCATCATCATCATCATCATCATCATCATCATCATCATCATCATCATCATCATCATCATCATCATCATCATCATCTCTTGAAATACAAGCAGAGTGGTTAGTTTGTTGGTACTAGCTCTGGTAGCAGACCGAGTGCAGGCATCCGGATAACTGCGACTAGCGCTCCTCTGGATGTCCTTTCGGGTGCTGTGCCGAACAGCTCTGCAGCTCATCCGCAGCCCGATTTCAGCTAAGACCATAAGCGTCATCTTCTGAAGTAGCAGGGGAGATCGACTAGGTTTTTGGTTCCAGATCTGATAGCAGACCGAGTTCAGGCATCTAGATACCTCTCACTAGCGCGTTGTACGATTACCTTCCGATTGATGTGCCGAACAACTCTCCAGCTCATCTGCAGCTTGATTCGCATGAAGGAGATCATCCTCATCGCTTGAAAAATGAGCAGAGTACGAAACAAATGTTGGTCCCAGCTCTGGTAGCAGACCGAGTTTGGTGATCTAGATACTTGAGACTAGCGCGCCAGATGATTCTAGATAGATTAGGCGTGCCTGTCAGCTCTGCAGCTCGTCTACAGCTCGAGTTAAGTTCAGAAAACCGACAGCACCCGCCAGGATGACACTAAGCAGCCGATTCCGCCTGAGTGCTTTTGACAGTAATATGCACCCGATCGACCTGAAATTAAGATGGCGAGCGGGAAAAACATCGAATATGGGGGAAAATTAATGAAGCTCTAACGACCTATCAAATTTCGAGAAA